GAATAGAGCCAAAATATAGTAATATGGGTTAAAAATATGGGTCAGCAATATACGATAAGGCCCTCTGTTACTTACAGGTGGTAAATCTGTTATGTGTGTGTGAGAAACAGAAGCAGCTATTAGGAGAAAAAAACTAGAAGATGAAAGAGGGGGAGTGCAGGGGGAAGGAAAGTGACGGAGACGGAAGAAGAGAAAGGGAGCTTGTATATCGACAGCCACTAGCATCAGTAGCGGTAAGCTGTCAACACTTGCTCGGCCAATACTGACCAATTGATGATCAATCCTCCTCATGGGAGACCTGCCAGCAGCAAACACAATCAATCCTCCTTTCCTTGTCAGACCTTCGAGCGATGTTAAAGGGGGGGGCGCTGCTCGATTCAAACCAACAGCAACAACTTGTTTTCGTTTCCCCTGTTCAAACTGCCTCTAAGCATAGTAAAAATGTCTTCACCCATTGATGACGCAGTCCCCTGTGGAACCATCAGTAACGAATGTCACCCTGTTTTGATTTGCAATTGTAGCATCACTTACAAGCTAATAAGCGCTACTACTAACGATACCATGTTTATAATGGCAGAGAGAAGTTAACGCACCGCAGCTTCAGAAAACAGATGTAAATGGACAAACAACCTCACCCACTTTGACAACACATCTTACATACGTTCAGGTTTAGAAATACCTTCACCACCAGCATTCGTGTCATACAAACACACAAATAAAGAAACGCTGCATTTAAACACGACAGATGTTTCCAGAGGATGCATTATTATTGGAGATACTAGCTATACCCATATAGTCTGTTCCAATAAACACACAGTATTTGCCAGTAGTCAAGTGCCGTCTTGTGTGAAGCATTTCTGGTAACTGCCAACCCTGTTAAAACCGCAAGTTTATCAAGGCTCACAGGGATAAACTTGATTAATGAGATTATATTATTATTCATGCTCAAGCTCAGATGCTTTGTTGTCTTTACTTAATTTTTACATAATGAACAAATAAGTAGGATCAACCATACAGTATTACAGTTATAATCAGATTGCAGTGAAAACACACATTTGGGGTCTGGGAGATATAATACAATGGATAAAACAACAAAAGTTAGTTCTCGACGTGATATAATATCACATTGAATTGGATTGGTAATAGTAAATGTTTATGCTGACATTGTAAGATATTAAATGCTTTTATTATCAGTCTCATCAAAAAGGAAATATTTTCGATAAGCATCTGTGGCGGTTTAACCATAATTCCCTAGTTTTGAAGCAAATAATGTTCGAACTGAATCCAACACTTCTTTGTTATTGTCATCCCTAAAACAAGCTTATAGCTGCATACTGCCAACAACTGGCAGCTGTGGCGCAGTAGATGAATTGTGGAACCCACTTGCTTACTACCTGGAGGCACATGAACGTGGACTTAAATGCTTAAGACACTAATTGCCGGTATTGGAACAGGTAGCCACTTTAGCCTTTTACTAATTACAAGCATGTTTATCAGTGCTTGTTGTAACTCCTGTGTATTGTGTATACATATGACTAACTACTTGTATTCCTACAGATTTTGTCTAAACATGAAATGACTGACAGCTGGACGAACATGCAAATGAGCAATCAGATGCAAAGACAGCTGTTTTGTGGTGCTTTACATTTCGTTATATCAAGAGTGAATGGTTGTTGAACCTGTTTCTACTGACTGTCTTCAATAGTTTTTCCTTTTATTGAAGGGATGAACAGAGTTAACCTTCGAGACTGGAAGTGGCATGGTCCACTTCTACAACACACACATCAATAATGGTGAGTGTTCAGGAGGTTAGCAAGGCCTGCAACAATCAATAAACCCTGACCACTGGAGACCACTGTGGTATGTCTACAGTTACACAAGTCTATATAGGAAACAAACACCTCGGTAAAGTAGTATTTCAATCACAGGAAATAAAATATATCGAAAGTAATCTGCTTAGCTACAGACTCACAACCTAATGTGCGCCATTATTTTGTCCACCCCCAGACAAAGTGGCGTGCTCAATAAGAAAGAAGCACATAGCTTGTGAACCATTTGTGAACTGTTAAAACACACTTGTTAAGGGGTGACTATCTGCTTTGTGGTAAATTATTTTTCACTCCATTTTAAAGTTAAGAGGTGAGAAATTGTTATCTTAAAGCCAAATTAACCCTGTGGGATGCTGGGCGAAGCCCGCTGATCCGTTGGTCTAATCAGAACTCCTTAAGTCCACTCAACTGGTATTACCAGCTGAGGCTAAATGGGAAAACCAATGAGCAATTAAAATATGTCATCCAATTATTTCCTGTGTTTGTATATTATTCTTTTAGTTTCTTACAGAATAGTGGGTCATTTGGTTGATATGCAGCCACCTAATTACCAAAAGGTTTTCCTACTGTGAGTCAAATTAAATCCACCAAGCTGAACCAAACCAAAGCAAACCAACTGCACAGTATCAAATCACATGCCAAAGAAATGAAGGAAAAAAGTATTTAGGACACCAGATTATTTGGTTTATCTTACAGTCTGCTGAAAGAAAATACATTTAAACTTGTTAAAAGGGTTTGTGGGGGAAACTTTTTTAGCATGGAGATTCTTTTTGGTAGATTTAGTATCAGAAAGTAGTCAAATACCATATGATGTTTTTTAGATTGTGGTAATGATATAAAACATTTGTCCAAACATAAGAAGCAACATAGCAGTCTAGCTGCCCAACCTTGGCAAACCAGAGTTAACTGTATCCCCCTAAACTCAGGTTGCAGTAGATGTTTGGCTGTGGGCTGCCCGCTGTCATTCAGATTCTGTAGGGTAGATTGCAGGGTCAAAAAGAGGTTTTGAGAGCACCGCTGTAGTGAATGCCAATCAACTATCAGAGCACTGCAAACATGAGCCTGGAGTGAGGTTGTAGGCACGCATGCAACCAATCCCAGAAACCGAGCAAGGAAATTTACATAGTGGTTAGCATTCAGCTGCCAAGTGTGAGCGATGATACTGAAGGCAGTGGGGAAATACTTCACCATTCTGACTGACCTCAAAATTGTGCTACTACAGCTCAGGTTTAGACTGAGGCACTGGGTGGGCAATAAGCATTTATTAAATACCTGATATAGGTGATTACAATAATAATGCTGCAAATCACATCTCCATACAACAGACTGCAAGCAGCATGAAAGCTTTTCCTTTTTTATTTAATTGTTCATCAGTGAAAATCAATTTCAGTGACTAGAGTTTCCCCTGTGAATAGGTAAGGTAGGTAACCCTCCAGTAATAAACTGTTGAACCGAAAAGTCTAACAGAATGTAATCAGTCCAAATTACAATAGCTAGTAGAAAGACTGAAAAACAACAAGCAGTATTGAACAATCGTATCAGCCCAGCAATATCCAGAACATCTTGGAGCGACTCTCCATGCCCTCCCTGAACTTTTGTTTCCAAAATCATACAAGCTGCTGTCCTTCTAGCCTGCCAATTCCTGTCTACTATTTCCATAGTTTTCGGGATTAACCAAGCCTGAAAGGCCTTCTCCTTCAGCTTGACAACTTCCCTCACCTCTGTTGTCCATCAGCTGGATCTTGGGTGGCCACCACAACAAACACAGGCAACCACAACTCTGGCCACAAGTCAGAGCAGGGGATAAAGTTTTAAATATAATGAACTTGGACTTGGAAGAAAATTTTTTGGAGGTGAGAGTTGGAGACCTTGCACACTCTGATTTGATTTGGTTTTAACAGGTCTTTCTGGCAGCAACCTGATCCACCTGTTGGTGACCAGTGAAGAGGTCTGCTGCTCTTTTCATCTAAGTCTCTGAGATATACATCCAAGGATCTGTATCTGGAACAACTACACAATCAACCATTGCTCTTTGGCTCAAGGTGTTCTGGTACCTTGCCCATACACAAAATCACACCATACTTGCAGGGACTCAGTGACCTGTAATAGATACCCCTGAGAAATACACCACATGATTGCCATGATGGCCAGTCCAGGACTAGAACAGAGGCTCATTAGTAAAGCACCACTGGGGTTTAGATCAGGCAGGGCTGTTCCTCCCAAGGACCTCACTGTCGATGTCCCTCAACAGAACTATAGAGTCCCTTGGCAGCACCCTCTCTAGGACTGTCCAACAGACTCCAAATCAAAGCCTTCCTTTCCATTACATGCAGTTGCACAAACATTACCATATTTTTTCTCTGGGGAACTCCAACACAATGGTGCTCACAAGGGGCTCATGAGTATGTCCAAATGTACACCGAGTCAGAAAAAAGAGAAAATTAATTCCCAACTATATCTAGCTGGTACCACTCCACCTCCCACACGACTCTACTAGAGAGGTAACTTTCCACATCCCGAGAGACATACATATTCTATGTCTGTGCTCAGGGTCACCTGAGATTGAATTTGAAGTCTGTACCAGAAGCACAAGAACCAAAACACTCCTGATGATATCATCAAGGAAACTTGAGGTCTGAGAAAACTCCTCCAGGTCTGCCGAGTGCTCTTACATATAGTGAATAAACTTTCACAGTGAACACAGATCACAGGAAAAACCAAATGAATTCTGGGTGGTGGGTGGATTTTCACTAAAATTGTATATACTGGGCTATCATTCAATCACTCATTATATCATTCAGCCATTTCATTATGCCTTCTTCCTTCAGGCTATTCATTTATTTAACATTAATATTCATGAAAACCAAAATCAACTTTATATGATTCTGTCAAGCATCTTTTTAATTAACATTCTGAAAATTACCTCATAAACATTAGCAACACTGGCTGGATCAAGCACTGAGTATACATATAATTGCATGTGCAAACAGACAGACGTGCAGAAATACACACTGATATACACACAATATGAAAAATACCTCCAGTCTGAAAAATGAACTGAACAAAGCAGCAACTTAAAACCAAATCCACACACACACACACACACACACACACACACACACACACACACACACACACACACACACACACACACACACATCTGCTACTCACCCTCTCTAGGTCTTGTCGGAGGTGTGTGAAGAGTTTGAGGCGTCTGTAAAGGACATCCTGCTCCTGCTGGGCCAGGTTGTCCACCTCGTCCCTCTTTAATGTCACCAGAGGTCGATTAAAGTTGGCCTTCCTCTTCAACTTCCAGAACTGATACAAGAAGTCCACCTTGAAGAGGAGACAAAATATTCCCATATTTTAAAATTATTATGTTCTCTCGAGTGGAGTGAGACATCAATGGCCTCAAATGAAGAAAAAGAAACTTAACTACACAACATTATTCCACTGAGGATCTGTTACATATTCATCATTTAGATTTTTTATTCTCTTAATTGTTGACCGGTAGCATCCATGGCAAATTTATATGGTACATCTACATCTACATCTGGCTTGTTTTGTCTCATTTCAAAGTTGCTTTTCGAGGAAGGAATTTATGCCATATGAATATGGCTAGAATCATAATCCAAAAGATTGAAATCACTTTAATTTACATCAATAACTCATCCATCTTTGGGAAGAACATAGTTCTGTTACACTTATTAGTATTTTAAACTGCTCTGAATGTAATTACTAATAGTAATTATTCCATTAAAGCATGCTACTAAGTTTTTATCACTATGCATAAAAAGCTGTTTGCTTACAGTTGTAGCCTTTCTTTATAGTGAAAAAAAGCTCTTGCCTGCAGCCACAACCCTCTTTGGAAAGCAGAGACCAGTTAATCACGGCGCATTCAAAACAAATGCCTGTGATTTATCAGACAGTTTACCTGTGAATAGGGAGCACTTTACTTGACGCACTGGAGCCGGCACTCTAAATGCAACTCATCAATACCACATCTGATTACATTTAATTAATTGTGGAAGCCAAACTCTTCATCTTGACTAATATATGATTAACTATGTATGCAAAATACTAGGTAAAGATCAGAATAATGTGTGTGTGTGCAGGCAAAACAGAGACTAAATTTAACATATTTAAAATGGACAAAAAAGTTCTTGGTGGACCGAAATAGAACTTTCCATTTAATTCACAGTTCGTTGAAGAACATAGAACAATGTGTTCTGAGATACCCTGCTGTATGTCGCTGTCACAGTATTTGCATACTTCTTGCCTGTTAGCAAGTGTTGCTATTCTGACCTGTCTCATCAGCAAGCTGTTTTCAGTGTGTCCGCCCTGTCTGCAGGTTTCATACTTTATTTATGCCTGACTCACTGTCTGGAGGAGTAAGTTATTTTTAGTTACAGATTGAAGTGTAGCTATTAGAGCGAAAGACAAGTGTATGGTATAGTTTCTTATTATTTCGTATGACAAATGCCTTAACGTACCTGGGAGACAGGCAGCGCCAGGTTTTCGGCCACTTCCCTGGGATCCACCAGTAGGTAAAACTCGTCCTCGAGCTCCTGTAGCTTCTGTTTCCTCTGGCTCACCTTTTCTCTCTCCAGCTGGTCCCGCTCAGCTCGCTCTGATGCCGACACCGAAACCGGGTACAATACAGACCTCTGCTCCGGTTCACTGCTGCTGTTTGGCTGGTGCTGCTGGTCGAGCCGGAGCTCAGAGCTGACGCCGGTGGTGGCCCAGTCAGGTCTGGCTGGGCCGTGTGCTGCGTTGGTGGTGGAGGTGGTGGTGTGGTTGCTGTTGTTCACAATGGCCAAACTGGAGGTGCTGTTGATGGTTGTACCACTGTTGCTGGCAGTGCAGCTGTGCTCCAGGCAGAAAGACTTGAAGCGCACCTCGTCGTTCTCTGCCAGGATGGTCCTCATCTCCAGGCCGTGGTCGAAGGCGCACGTCACATGGAAGGCCACAATACAGGAGGGCATGGAGCACTGGGAGAAGAAGAAAGAAAGGTAATACGGTTAAGGGCAGTGACAGAATAAATAAGCACAAAAAGGAAGAAGGAAAGTGATATTGGTGATGGATGGACAAGGGATGTATGATGAGAAGGAAGTAGGGAGGAAAAAAGAAGAGTGGAAGGTGAAACAGTGAAGAAAAAATCCCTTCCAACTGTTAATTCTGTGTCTTGGATCATCAAAAAGAAGATTGGTAGAAAATGTGTTTTTGTTATCGTCCTGCAACTTAACTCTTAACCTCTGTCTTTGAAACACATGCATGTAAACACAACACACAGACCTGTGTGGCACTTTGTCATGACTATTTGTTTTAAAGTGTCATTTTCGGTCCATTTCTTGCGTTATCAAGGTTCCAATAGAAGTGCAGCAAAGCAGAAAGACAAGCCAAGTCACACAAACACGATTCCCCCATTTCTGCTGACATTTTGGTAACTTGGGGTGTGTGTGTGTGTGTGTGTGTGTGTGTGTGTGTGTGTGTGTGTGTGTGTGTGTGTTTGTGTTTCACAGTGCTATCCATTACAGGTCATTCTAAGAGGCGCCCTCCTGCTGAGTCCCTCCAGACATAGTGTGATTGTGTATGTGTGAGCCCTTGTGGCTGTGAGCTGTTGTCACTGTGTACATGTACATTTGTAAGTGTGTGTGCAGGTCGGTACTTTTCAGAGAGAGTTCAGCATTCAGAAAGATGGTGACTGTCTTCTCTGTGTTGTTTATGAGCGTGGTGACAAAAACCTAACTGATCCTACTGACTCCACCGTCTGGGAATCAACTTCTGTCTAACATTTTCACAATCTTTTCTCTCTCACTCTCTGTTTCTCCCTTCCCTGGCTTTCAACAACTTCAAAAGTTTTATTTTAAAAATTAAAATACACAGCAGCTCTTTGTTAACAGTCAAACTGCTGTACTCTTATAAAGAATGCTTAAGAGAGGCAAAAATTCAATTGAAAATGTTAAGCTTTTAATTGGTTAAACACTAAAAATAAAAGGAGGCAGATGAGCCCATCCAGCTCTCATCCTTATTCATAAGTTATCTTGGTGTGAAAACGGAACAGTGGAACATTTACTAATGTGGTTTATATGATGCGGCAAAAAAAAAAGCAGGCTACTCTGTGCTGCATTTTTCCTCATCACTCCCTGTCACACCCCAAGAACAATACACTGATTTTGAACTAAAGTAGGTCATCAGTATGCAAGGTAAACCAGTTCATCATCACAACCTGTCAGAAGTATGTGAAATCTATGTGAGGCTGCAACCTGAGTGCTGCAGACAGGTCCAACAATTATGTGTATTTGTGTGTCATAAACATCACACCTGACCACAACTTAAATAACTGAACTTGCATATGAACCCATGTAAAACCACAAATAGACAAATGAGACACCTCATGTCTACTTTATCTTCTAACACTTGGCCTGAACTGCAACAAAAAAAAAAAAGAAAATACAAACTGCAAAGATTCTGCAGTGTAAAAAATGTTGGGAAACCTGAGTGTAGATCCTTCAGAGAACATGGCAGCCTAATTGTGGAAAGAGATGTAGCTTTTGAATCATTTTAATGTAATTTTCCCGAAGCTTTGAGCACTACAAACAAAATTCCATTCACTTGCATTAGTTTCATATGAAATTTCTGCCTCCAGTATGATGCAAGTGAATGGAATGAGGTTTGTGGTGCCAGCTAACCCCGTCCATCATACAAAACCGCACTTGACCGTTAGCTCGTGGGTAGCTAGCACAGTAATACCATAGTAGTAGGTGTGTGTTTGGATTTCTGCTGAAAAATAAACTGTTTACTTTTCCAAAGAATCTGACCGAGGTCTAATTTAGTCATTTCACCCTTTTCGCCCTCATCCTGATCTACCAACACGAGTGAGGCAGATGCTGTCAACTCTGTACCGAGCTTTAAAATACATTTTAACAGTAGGGACAGAAGGTGGGATCGAACAACCGCATATTGTTACAGTCAAAGGACTACACTGTAGACCCATTTTATTACAGACTTCCCTAAATGTCAGACTGAGCCCGCTGCAGCTGCTATCACTTATTTGGTGTCAAAAGGCAAAAGGTTGAACACAGCGTGGAGCTGGCTAGATGTGTTGTTTGGTACGAGCCGAGTCATCGCAAAAAAAAAAAAAATACTCATCTGGCCTTTTCGACGGCACCTGCTCAGCAGCAGATTCATTAATTATGTTTTTATCACTGCCCACGCGAGTGCAGCATGTTTGTTTAACAGAGCAGTTATCTTCAAACCTTTGCGTGATGAGGTAACCAGAGAAAAAGGATACCAGTCACATTATCATTCAATCATATTCTACTTTCCCCCCATGAGAGAGATTGGGGCCTGTGTTTATTAAACTGTTAAAAAGTGAAATTTTGGAAATATTTCCTCTAATGTACCTCATCTACCAACAGTCCCTGCTCCAGTTTGTTTTTCGTTTTATTTAGTTCCATCCTTATTTATATGTTTGTATATTAAACCCAATAACTTGTTAATTTCACATGGTAATTGCTGCAAGAATATTTCAAACAAATAAAATTAACCTACGCCTACACTTCGCTGCAGGAGTTAAGCGGCTTTATTTGATACGTCTCATTCTTTACACTAAGCAAAGAGCTCTTTTACATTTAGACTGGTGCTCAGAACATTTGTAAGTGTAATTCTTGCTGGCACGTTTCCAAAACCTCTCCTGACTCAACATTCATATTGTTGATTTCTACTTTCCTGCGCTCCTATACTGCTAACCTACAGTATTTTGTTAATCATTTTTTCATCATTATTTCATGATATCATCTTTGAACGTCTAGTAGAAGCGCTTCAGTCGCAACAGTTTTAATTTGTCTCAAAACAAACACAACACCATTACTTCCCACACGCATCTGTTCAGAAATTAAAAGATGGCCACTGGACACAGGCCTATGAATACAGCAGCAATTTCAAATAATTTTTAACTACACAAAATATCTTGTTTGGCAGAATTGAAGAGCTTAAACTGGCAGGCTTCAGGATAAGACATCCGTCATAAAAATCTAGGCCTACATTTCATTTCTAACCTGAAATCCTGATGAAATCATGGCCTTGACACCGCAGCTACAGTATATCTGTGCCAATATCCATCACTTAGTTTACCTGAAGATGTGTTGATCCTTGGATGCAGAAAGAGCCTGACACCTGAGGAATATTTATGATTTGTGCTGCTATATTTCATTTTCAAAACCTTTGATTTAGCTCAAAATCTACAAACATTGAAGCATCCTCATACATAGTTGTACTCTAGGCTTACATGAACTATCTCTATTTTCATTTGAAAACTTTTTTTTACCCTCAGACATTTGGCTGAATTTTAGCCTTTCATGTGGTATCCTTCATGGTGTAGACTTACACTAACAACAGTGTGGCAACAGCACTATCAGCTAAGCTAAACCAATAACCCTCAGAGGAAAACTCTCAGGGATTGGACTTCATCAACTTATTCCACTCTGTATTAGAGTATTACATATGTATTGTCATGTTGCCGCTTTTCACTGAAGATGTATCTTTTTTACACTGTAAAATATTTAAACCTAAGAACTCGTGTTTGTTCTGCAACAATGGAAATATTCTAGATGTCTTGTGCTTCATTTCATACAAATTTCTACCCCCCAAATTCTGCCTTTTCTCTGACTTAATCGGTATCGTTGGAAACTTTTTCTTTTTGTAGCCGAATAACTGACCCACCGGCAGCTATTAGGTAGCACGGCTACAGGTATTTAAATCTAAAGGGCTGCCATGTTACTCTGAATTCTGTGAAGAAGACAAACTAACCATGAAGCAAAAGTACTTTCTTAATTAGCTGAGTGTGTCAGCCTATTACTGAAAACCGTTGCTCACAGACTGACTCTCTATGAGCTTTAACAAATGCAGTACAGGCTTGACTGGCTGACCTTTCCAGTGCACCGTCCTTTGATAAAGCGCAAATTAAAGAGTCTCATTACACCTGAAGAACTTGCCAATTAAAAGTCTTTAAATACAAATATTTAAGTATGAACATTCTGAGACGCCCGACTATCATTATGGGAAGAATTGACAGCACATGAAAAGAGACATGGAAAGTATCATTAGACGAACGAAAGCTTGTTATTGCCAAATTACCAAAGGATGAAATGACCAAAGACTTGTAGTGGAAGATCTTAGGGCAACATAGCAAATCAGAAGTGGTCTGATCTGGTCTGAGCTGTCTAACTGGGCGTACATTAAAAACACAAAGACAGACATTATATTGGCAGTAACCCATATGCTGTAAGTTGTCTGTTAAAGGATGAAGATAATGCGCCTTATATGTGTTCTCAAAAACTCTTGGAGGTCTGAATGACAGCCCATGACCTAATTATGAAAAAAAGGTTATGTTTTATTCTCTCTCAGATGCTCCTGTGCCTAAACTTTTCAAGACAGAAAACTGATTTGTCATTTCAAACATTCCCAACATTAAAGCCTACACAGGACTCATGCTGCTCATGGTGCCGTGTAGCGCTGCATCTCTACCTTATGTGTGAGGTGGCAACTGATCAGTGAGAGTGTTTGTACACCCGCCTGCCTCCAGCAAGGGAAACACGAGAGAGAGACTCACTCCCTGCGAGCGATTCTAGCTCAAGGACTCGCTGTTAATCTACAGCATCAATGCTGTGACAGCAAACACCCCCACCGCTGCACAAACAAGTTGCATCTGGACACGCTTGTATGTACACATATTCACATACATCATGCACACATGTATATACACAAGCAGGTGGAGCATTGGGCTTTAGGAATCCAGTTCACCTCAAGGGCACTTTTAATGCTGAATGGTCCGCAGTCTAATAGCTGTAAAAGTGGGTTAGTGTTAGCGTGTCAGTGGGGGTTTTGTTTGCGTACTCAGCAGCATGTTAAAGAGGTACCAGGTTCAAACAGATCCACCCGCGCCCAGCGGGAGGCTAAGAACTATGATGTGTGTTGTTGAGAGACATTTAATGTGACAGTGTGTGTGTGTGTGTGTGTGTGTGTGTGGTGAGTTCATGCTTTAAAACAATTCTGCAAGTGCTTTGCTGTGTTATGTGTCTGTATATAGGTATACAAGTTTGTGTGGGTGTGCCTTAAAGGATTTATTTCAGAATGTACATCCCATCTATCTGTTTGTAAGGATGAGTGGGTTTGGACTTTGATGCCACTCCAAAAAACAAAATCTTAATACTGCATTTCACACACAATTAAAACTTTCCCCAGTTTTCTTCAAGCTTGTTTGCATTCCAACACCACCTCCAGATGAATGCAGAAGGCATGATGACTGGAATAGTAAGAAGAGGCAGTACAATAAAAAAGGAGGAAGAGGAAATTAACTGAATGATCTGAACAGAACGTGATTATTACGTTTCTCCTCCACAGAAAAATCAAGATTCGGAACTTTGACAATTATTTTATTGTAAAGTGATAAATCACAAATGAATTAAGATTAAGGTTATTGTGTGAAGTGGTGGTTAAAAGTAGGCAACTAAATGTGTTTTATTGGTGTTCAGGTAAAGTTTTGAGCATGATTAAAAATGAAAAACCTTCAGGCACTGTGGATGCAGAGAAAAGTGTTTGTGATGTACCTGTATGCAGGTTCCTGTGTGTTCTCGACACAGGCTGCAGGACAGAGCCCAGCGGCTGGCGGGGATGTGGGACACCTTGGTAATGGGCTCCATCTTCTCTGGACAGCCTATACTCACCTACAGGGAACACAGAAAAATCAGATATACATATATCTGATACACAGCACCATTTGTGATAAACAATTAACATTGTGTGGAGACTTCGCTTTATTTGCACAATAAAGTTAACTTATTCTGTTGCCTGGGATAAATAATCATAATTAGAATCGTGTTACAATCGCAGTTACATCTTCATATTCTTTAGAGCTGAAATGATTAGTTGATTACTTCATTTAAGCCACTTTAAGTAAGTGTATTTTTTTAAGTGGTATTTTTTTCTCAAAATACATAATATAAATAGCTCTATATTTCAACAGCGTTCACCGTTACTGAGTGTTCAGTCAGTAACATGGGTCTCCCAGTCCCTCTTTTCTACAGCAAACTGATTTTTTTCTGGTAGCTGTGATGCCTTGTAGCACAATTTCGTCATTAATACAGACATGTCACAATTACCAGCTCAAAACAACAAAGCATAAAAACAAAACACCTTACTCTCTTCTCTTATTGTTTTAAATGTCGTACTTGAAGCAAATCAGCATATCTGATGAAGTCTGATTCTTGCAGTTTTTGGATTGCACCCACATGGTTGAATGCACTTAATGTAAGACACTTTGGATAAAAGCATCAGCCAATGTAATGTACTGAAAATCATTCTTCAGCCGTATTTTTTATTTAACACAAAATCTTAACGGCTCCCACAACGGTCAAAATTTCCCCGAAACCTTCCACTGAATGATAATAATCAACTTATTGTAGCTTAAATGATAGTTTCTTCAGTGTCTTCCACTTTCAAAGCCAAGATCTCAAATTAGAAAGTCTGTCCTTGGACCCAGAGGAGGGACACCTGTGCTCCTTGGAAAAACATTATTGTAAAGCTCAGTGTGACTCACTCTCTCTGAGCGGTCTATTCAGAACGGCTTTGGCCCCAAAACTTGCTCCACCAAATACAACCAAAGTCATTGACCTGTGCCAACCAGCCATGCAGAATAGAGTGGAGAGCACTCATCACCAAAGTGCCATTTCTTCCTTCCTCCCTCCGCTGCTTATTTCTTTCCAAAAACCATTCCACCTCTTTCACATTAACTTATTCTCATATTTTGCAGCATGGCACTCCTTCCTTGTCCTTCACGCTTGCAATAACAAGCTGTCGACTGATTCCTGCAGGTCATGCCCCTCCCTCTCTTCATCCATTCGTCCTTCTATCCGATTTTCTTTTCCTTCTCTCATCTGCTCATCCACAGAACAAGCCCACAGCCTCGCTTCTTTCTTTTATTATTGATGTCTTTTGTACAGCACACTCAATCGGAGTAGGGGTCAATTTTCACTCCATTGAGGATGTCAATAGAAAGTGCACTTCAGACAATGATGCCACAGCTGTCGCCGTCAACCCTTGCTTCTTTTATACAGCTGATGTACCGATCGATGGCAAAAGGATTTCCAGTTTTTGAATGCTGTAGCTAATTGATTGGATTGTTCTCAACCCTGATACCCATACACACGCGCAGAGGTTGCACTTTACACAATTCCTCCACTTTCCCCTCTTGTGTTGGTTTGTCAATGCTCAAAAAGTCTGCACTGTAGCTTTCTATGTATGTATCTATGTATGTGAGTGAGTGTGTGTGTGTGTGTAAGCCCATGCAGGCCTCAGGGAATGAGCATATTCTAGCCCCAATTACTTCACATTTCAAAGCAGATAGATGGAAAACTGACAAAATTTGAAACCACTTCAGTGGAAATGGGTAGAAATCACAGTGCTGAATGAAAAGGCATTTTAAAAGAGGGGCTCTGCGTCTTTCAGTGTGTGTGTGTGTGTGTGTGTGTGTGGTAAAAAGCCGTTTAAAGAGAGACCTCTCTCTAGGGGTTGAAGGCAGAGGGTAGAAGGCAGCTACACACACAGCACTGCAGGGGGGCTGTATCGTTTGAAGGCTGGGTGGTGTGTTCACGCACACAAGCACAAACACACACGTGCACAAACATGAATCTCTATGAATGACACTCGCACACACAGAGCCCCGTTTTCTGGTAATTTCCACTACTATTATATTTGGTAGAAATCTACTAGCCGGCGTTGTGATGTGTGTATATTTGTGTAGATGTCTGCTATTAACAACTCTTTAGCTCATGCAAGCACACATGACTGAGTCTTTGCAAGGACACACACACAAACACAAATGCACATACAGCACAGACATGCAAATTATCTTTTTTTTTTCCCCTCCACGGTAGGAAGAGAAAACAAAAGCGAATGGAGCAACGAAAACAATTAGCCCAATCAAGGGTGACAGAAGGCAATTAGAAGTAAAAGGTTTGAGCTGCCAAAAGCTACTCTATTACTGAGAAATCTGCTGGTGGAGTGTGTTGTTGAATAGGCTGAAGACACATGACTGACTCTCTTAACAGTTTAAAGGTGTGTGCAAGGCGTGAAGCAACATCCGTCCCTGAACCTCTGAAATGAGCGGCTTTATGTCCGTTTGGAGCTTTCGGATGAGAGACATTTCCGTAAAGGTATCATCAAGACCCATCACGTTGAAATGAGCGGCTGTTTGGCTACATACTTGACAAAGAGGTTCCTCGTGAATCAATTTACATTATCTGCAGACTGTTAAGAGGGAAATCTTGACTGAAAAAGCTACATGAAGTATTTGAGGCATTTACTGTAAACAAGGAAACCCTGGTGGAAAATAACAGACAGGTGCGAGTGTTTCTCAATATCTAGGCCACATTTCCCGTAAATCCTCCTGCTTCTGACTTCTTCGAGTACACTCAAGCCATATGAAGATTGAAAGAGTTACGAGTTGCTGTAATCAACCTTCCTCGTCATACTGACTGTGAAACAATGCCTGTCACTCTAAGAAATGTTGCAGTCTTTTATCCGTGCATGAATTGATTCACAAAATTCATGTAAGGCTCAATATGAGGCTTTAAAAGTCGAGGTCAACAAAATCAGGAGGGTGGTAGTTATCCAACATTGCGCTCTTTGTGTTTCTACAGTCAGTGTTTCCTTGCTCAACTGCAGTGGAGGGATAGAATCTGGTGCTGTAGTAGGCCACTCTCATACTGCCACTGTATTTCTGCTCCTTCCTTAAAGGGAGAGACTGTCTTACTCCTGAATGGTGGGTCACAGCATGTTTTGTGTGGATGCAAATGGTGGAAAAGAAACAACAGTATCTATACTGAGTAAAACTGAGTTTCAACAAGAGCTTTCAGAGATGGATGCAGAAGTCAAAATAAGCACTGCGTGGGTCTTCATCAAAGCATGTTAAACACCACACTTTCAGGTGTTTTTCTTCTCTGCTCACTCTCTAGAGCCACTTTTGCACCGATATTCAAGGCGTGCCTATAGACCTATCTTTAATTGGAACAGTCAGGTTCAGCACAAATTATATGAAATGAACAACTACTAAGGCTGCACGATATGGTAAAAACATCATATTGTGATTATTCTGATAGATACTGCGATTCTCGATTATTTGGGTATGATCATTTTTGCGTTACAAATTGAATTTTCATTAAAAAACACCTGGTCTGTACCAAACAAATCTTAAATCTGTGGAACAAGATTTGTAGACCAGGGCACCTCTGCAGCACTTCATTTTAATGCTGTTTTGTCACACATTTTACCTTTATCAAAGCATTGCGATTTGCATAATGCTTCTGAGATTTGCATATGCACTTGGCCATATTGCGATTCCAATAATATTTTGATACCTTAAGCACAAGAACACACAGGTTGACTGAGGACGTGCATGAGAAAAAACAAAAAAAGAAAGAAATGGTTATCTGTATTAAGATTTTTTGTCTCTCCTTGGGTCTCACCTCTGGGATCCATAAGGCACAGCTGACGTGGACCCACTTGGTTCCACTACGGGTGGGCTTAAGGGCCCCCCCTCTCTTGGGGCAGAGCAGACATTTGGGCTGGACGCCCAGAGCGCAGGTCCGACACAGCCAGTTCCCCTGGGGTACCTTCAGGATGCCATAACACGCCTGCGAAAGAGAGAAAGAATAGTTAGGAGAGGTGATGGTGTGAAGAGGACATATAAAGAGAGACACTTTATAACTTGGGAAAGCCTGGCTCTGTCTGAAGGTTACACGATCCGTCTATTCATGTTGTGTACAGATTAACAAATGAGATATAACGTGTTACTTAGTGAGATTTAGAGGCGCTGGTAGGCAGATTTTGTTATCTTCGGACAGAGGCAGGCCAATTGTCTCCCCACGCTTCAAGCCTTTATGCTAAGCTAACCGGCTGCTAGCCACAACTTTGTATTTAGTGGACAGATATCAGACTGGAGCAGAAAGTGGCAAGAAAGTGAATAATGCCCAATAAGAGGGTGGAAAATTGTTGCAGAAAATAAAGAAGAATATTAAAAATATTAAAAAGCCATATAAATTAATTCATCATTTGAATCATTTTTCTTAACCACCTTAATAAAGAAGTGCGAGTGTAGCCAGACTGGAGGAGAGAAAGAACCCTGATGTACAGCAGAATTTTAACCAGCTACACCACAAGCCCACTCCATTGTCTTATTTCAGAATCTTTTCAGTTTTGGAAGCAGCATACTGTCAGCGGTTGCTGCTTCATAACTGAAAACTTAAAAAGTAATTACAGTCTGCTGCTTATTTCTGTCACATAAAATTAGCAAATTCACTGATTTCAAAGCGACACATAGCAAAACACTCCACCTCTCTCCCCCTTTTATCTAATCTTACAGCTCTTTAGAGGTTTGTGCGCACTACTGCTGCAATAACACACAAAAAAAAAAAACCCACACACAAAAACACTCAAAACAATTCCACCGCAGACTACTGTCCCGCCCAAAACTTAACTTTCAATAGGAATTACATCCACTGAAGGAAACAAGAAATGCCACTTGGTGTTGTTTTCAAAACACAGCAGGTTATTGTACCATCAGTGCTCCACCCATTTCCCCTTCCGTTAACGCACGAGTACCCTGAACATTTTTCATGCCAGCATAATAGCATGTTGATTTTGATAAGATTCAGTCCCCAGAGTCAGAAACAGAGAATGATTTTATTATCAGATATGATTTATTCCATAACTGTCTCAAAGTGCTTCTACTGTGGGGAGTGAGTCATTCTTAAGGACTCTTTAACCTCCACTATTATAACTTCTACGTCAGATCTATCTAATCTCATTTCTAACGGGTTATGCCCAAATTAATCCACAACAGATCATTTCAGGAACCACTGTCGCTACATTCACCTGTTCATTCACACAGCAATTTTAATTTAGCCTTAGTCTTTTAGTCACATTTTAGTCCTTCTTATATTTATAGGTTTAGTTGATGAAACGCCATTACTTTTTAAGTAAATTTTTAGTTGTTTTCTCTATAAACTATTTCAATCTATATATATATATATATTTATTTATTTATTTATTTTTTGAATTTCCCCATTGTGGGACAAATAAAGGAATATCTAATCATGCTAATACAGGTATCGTACACTGGGATCAAGGGATTGAACAACACTCTCTTAAAGGTCCAGTGTGTAACATTTAGGAAGATCTATGGGGAAAGGGAATATAATATTAATAGGTATGCTGCCATGTTGAACCGCCACGTTTCTACAGTAGCCCGCATGACCCGCGAGCCAGGCAGGTTTGGGTTGACTTACTAGAAAATACGAGTACTTCAGGCAAGTGGGTCAAGTGACAAAGCAGAGTTCTGAGTAAGTTATTAATAACGTCTCGAAACATTGCGAGCAACAGTTCACCTTCCACTTTCTCTTCCCCTCTCTCTGTCTCTCTCTGTCTCTCTCTCTCTCTGTCTCTCTATCTATCTCTCTCTCAAACACACACACACACACATGCTGGGTGCTGTGGATTCAAACAAGCGCATCCTGTGGTCAGCTCAGCTGGTCAGTGTTTCAAGTGCATGGAAACAGGTTAAATCCAGTGAACTGTGGACTCACACAATGCAGCCAAAAACTGGGCTTAAAAAAAGACAGTAGGCTATAGACTTGCACATTCTGCTTGCAATTCACTAAGAAGCTCAGCCCTGCTAGCTTTGTGGCTTGCTGGTCGAGTCTCGTATTTATTGGGAGGAAAACAGCATGCATTTTTTGAATATCAGAAAGCCCACCACCAACGTTTCACTCCTGTCTCATCAACAATAACAAAACACACATTTCCTCATAGTTTCTATCATCACATATCTATTTCTAGCTCATCAGAGTTTCATCTTGGTCATGGAAAAAGGGTCACTGACGAGCATTTTTTTTTGGTTCAACAAAATCACCAAAGCTATATTGATGCCAGGTCTCGGTATGCAATCGCTCACCCTATTCAATTATAAGAAGATAAAATTATGGAAAGGAAGCATAAAAACAGAAACAAACTTCCCACTGACAGGAGTAAATAAAGTGAGACATCAAAGACTGCATCTTCATTAAAAGCAATTAAAGTGCTTTATTGATTAAAGGATTCATATTGATCAAACAAAACACTTCAGTAAGCAGGGCCTGTCTTATACCGGTTGAAGGTTAGAGCAGTCAGCGTTGAATGTGTTTACTCTATAAAAGCAATAATATTACTTAATACGCCCTCGGAGCAACAATTTCTTTCACTGCTTGTTACATTTTGTTTCCATGACACCTTAGTGTTTGGCAGTTCTTCTTCTGCCCAATAAAAACGTAGAAAACACAGTGATTACCCTGTGGAGTGGCGTTATACAACAGTGTTTGAAAAAGTGTATCTTGTGTACCTTAAATGTAAACAAAAAACATGTTTACAATGAAACGTGCACTTCCGTCTGAATATTACCAGGGGCCAAAGCGTGATGAAGTTCTAGCTATCTTTTTGCTTAATAAAGTCAAGTAAAAAAACATGCATAAGGGATGGGATGACTATGTTTCCCCTCTTTTTCTAAATAATTCCACTTTCCTTTCATATACAGGAGACATTTTAATAAATTTAACAAGCACTTCTTGATCAACAGCTTAGGCAATTGATAAAATATTTGGTGCCAGGTATCTCAGGAAGCAGGATTTCTCCCCCCACCCCACATTGTAAGTGAAATGTTAGGTGATGGATCCACACGAGATAATGTTTGCAGTTGGCGGTAACTATTTCAATCCGGTGTCATAACAGCAGGTAAGCAGAGGCAGTCTGATGACACTGAAGGTGTGCTAGTGCCAACGGGGCCGACAGAACAATTAACACTGTGTCAATGTGTAACAAACACAGCAGAGCACCTCAAGCCTCAGGTTGTCACAGGCACCATTTGTGAAATTGCTACTGTACATGTACTTTCATGCTGTTGATAAATGAAGGCAGTGGGAGAAAGAATGTGTAGGCAGCCAAACTGTGTATCTGGACAACCTTGATTTTACATTCAAGCTTTCAGAATGTGAGAATTTCATCTGTAAAGCCAAACAGGATTCTTAATAATACACAAGCATGCACAAACACACTTAAACAGAGAGATGAGCCACTCAATCTCTTAATTCCTGACCTGATGAACGCAAACGTTGCACTTGTCGCAGAAGACCATCTCGTTGCCATCCTCTCCCTCCGGCGAGCGACAGACGTCGCACACCACGTCCTCGTCGTACTCGATGCCCAGGCCTTCCTCCGTCTCGATGGCCTGCCGCATCTTTTCATCGCACACGCTTTCCAGCTCGACGAGAACGCATTCCATCGTCAGCTCATCCATCTCTGGTAACGCTGGTGGTGAGAAAGACAGGAAGCAGAAACTTGATTAGTTTTCGTTTATCTTCTCAAACACGACAATGAGCTCTAAACCAATTATCCGCAACTCTGGTAAAAGTAAAGACAGGGAGGAAGAACGGGGGAAGGAGACGTGATTAAAGTGTATTTTTTTTCTTTTTCATATTTTTCACTTTATGTTTTTCTTTAAGAGAGAAATGTGTCCTTAATGCAGAGCTTATCCACTCTTCAAAAAACTGATTTGAGACATGGCCGCTGGAAGGAGTGATGAATATTTGAGAAAATACTGAGCCTGTACAGAGCAATTAAAACTAAGAGCACAGGGTCAACAGGGGTTTCTTTTAGTTCTTGTTATCAACAAGGACAACAGTAATGGGAAGCTGCTCATGGGAAACTCAAAATGAGTGAGCCAATTTACTAAATTCTAGTTATTTCTGGCTAAAAACACAGTCTCACACTTTAATTGGAAATGCACACAGCTTTCCTTAGCAAGTACACCTCGCACAGGTCACTTTCTGTTTTCTTTGGGCCATCTTAGGATAAAATGTGATGAAAATTAGCTGCATGATGTGGGAGTATGTGGAGTCGACTCTTCTGCTAACCAGAGAAAAGCAGAGAAAGGCTGTGCTCTGTCACCACAAGCCAGTTTCCTATCAAAGCCAAAAAACGATTGCCAGTAAGCCCTTCTTGCCGACAGCTCAGTTCACCACGCCAATATGTGTCTGCATTAGCATTAGTATTCCTGCTCCATTTGCATCTCAAAGTAATGCCTTGCTCTAAGGCTGGTTAATAGTTGATGAAAACGGATTTAACTGGCAAATGCAAGCTTTTTTTCCCCTCATAAAAAAATAAAGTATTTGAGCTACAAGGAAAGTAAACAGTCTGGTTTCCAGGTCGGTGGCACACAGATGTGGTGTACTATTATCTCATTAAGTGGAACGAGATTACAATGATTATTCAAAATGGGTGACAGTAAGGCATTAAATCTGGCTTCTTTTTCTGAAATAAAGAAGATTATTTGGATAACTGTTCATAAAAAAAACATTTTAGATGTTACCTGGGGACTGTAATATTCCACAAATATTGACTCATGGCTGTAAAGAGCATGCCAACACAAATCAGATTTTTAAGTAATAGAAAACATTATGAGTAAGGTGATAATTTTTATATTCTGTATTTACATAGTGTTATCACACCACCTCTCATTGCTTCGCGTGAATGCTCCAAGCAGCAATAAAGAAACTTCTGCTGTCCTGGCTTCTTTTTATTCTGTAGTTGAGGATTATTTATTGATTTATTTGAAGGATTCAGCACTCAGTTGGGAGGTTTTTTTAAAGTGGAGCTGAGCATCCTGTGTCTCTATCTATTATTTATATGACTCAATCCCTTCCCATCCAAAAATAAAAAATAAATAAATAAACAATTTTATTTACTGATTCTTGGGCATCTGACTGCCAATGTGCAACCTGAGCTGATGGTTCACATAAACAAGTAGAGGTTAGACTCACATAAACCCAACCTGAAAAAACTTTTTTATGCCTTAGAAATGTAAAATCAAATGCTGCTGATGTTGAAAACAGGTCATGGTTTGAATCGTATTTTTGTCTTGAATTTGGCATCAATGACGAACTGGAGAGAAGAAACTGTGTGATTGCAATGTAGTTGTGGATTTAGAAGCAGAGAAAAAGGGAAGTAGAGTTAAATATTAACCTGCTGTGACATTTACATCATCAACTGAACACATACACACAGGAGAGAGGGAAGTAACACCACTGTTCACAGATACATTACAGTGTTTGTATGTATGTGTCTGCACATTGTGTGTGGGCTTGTATTGACTTTAGATTTATCTTCTATGTGTGTTTCCGTGTTTTTACATGTGACAGCTGTGCGCACATGCAGATACACATTTATCATTGTGTGTGTGTGTGTGTGTGTGTGTGTGTGTGTGGCTGCACTTATCTGTCTGAAAGCTTCACAGCATTATACACGCACACACACACACACACACACACACACACACACACACACACACACACACACACACACACAGATAAACTGACTTTTTATCTTTACTTTTTCAATATGTCCTGCTGCCTTTATTCTGCACATTGTCTGTGCATTTTGTGATTTCATGTACGTTTCTAATTGTATTGAATGCATTATAAATGTATTTTCTCAAATATTAGTGTTAGACTGTGTTTTTCAGTGTTTTGTGCTGCTGTAATGGGCTAGTTTTTCACTGACAAAAGTGTTTTAGTGTGCACACATGTAGTTTGGTTAATCTGGTCCAGACCAAGGGAAAAAATTGAATTTGCATTTTAGTCCTGGTTTGGTTCATGTTCACACTGACTTTTTACAGACAAACTAAAAGGAGTAAACATGAAGTCACTGACAGGTAACTCATTAATTGGACTGTTTGGCCCGAATGTCATACTGGATCATCAGGACCCAAAATCAATTTCCAATGACTGACAGCAGGTCATGCAGCACGTAAATGCTTCTAAATGTCATAAAGAGACTGCCAATCGAACACAAAAGCAATATTCCAGCAGGTGTTTATGTGGGATCACTATGTAACGTACTTTCAGTGAACTTACTGAACTGCAACTGCTGAACAGAGCACAGCTTTTAGAATTGATCAAGAAAAAGCCCTGCAGTCACTTGTTGGTGGACTTGGTACCATGGTTACCAAATGATTGAAACATTTACACAATTAGGCCTATAAGATCACTCCTTGAACACATATCTGCTACCATAAAATCCTGTGGTTGGTTTCTTTGCTTTCACACCCTAAACAAACCGCACCAGAGCGGACCAAGACCCACTTTTTCGAGCGGTGTCAGTTTGGTTGTTGGGTCTGACTGACAGTTTTCACAACAGCCCAAATGAACCGAACTAACCAGGTAAACAGAGTTCATTTTAACTGAACCAAACAAGTTAGGTGTGAAAGCACCCTAAAAAACTTAAGTCGGCACCCCCTGAATACACACACTTGTATAGACTTATACAGTAAGTACAGGTCCAACATAGAAAATGCTGAATCATCCCATCAGGAGTCCAGAGTCATATAGCCTCGCCCAGTAAAACCAATCAACCGTCTGTTTGTTTGGTCTAGCATTGAAGGTTATGAGAAACAATCCGCTTCTGCTCCTGGAGGAGCCAGTGTGTATGTGCATGTGTGGGTGTGAGTTTGATTTAAGGACAATGCGTCCCAGAAATAAGGCCTGAAACCCCAGCAGGGATTTATAAATACAATTACTACGCTTTATCTGAAAAGAGCCGATCAGATATCGAATAAAATGGTGGAGATGGGAGAGATGCTCGGGGTCAGCAGTTGTCACCATGGCAAAATAGAGGATGTAGCAAAGCAGAGGAGAGAGAAAGTGACAGAAAACTGTAGAAGAGGAAGGGAGAATATAGAAGAAGCAGAGGAGAGGAGGGGAACAATGAGAGGAGAGGGAAGAAAGAAAATAATATGTACTTTGCGGTTAAAGTACAGTATATTTAGAGTATCTGCAGGTTGCAGAAACCAAATTTTAAGACTTTAAAAATTTGGCTTGGAGAAGATGACCCCTTAACACTGACCCTCACCCATGTCAGATAAACAGCTGCGAAGGCTTATTTTTTATGCAACATGTCTAATAATGGTTCTGTGGCTGTAAATAGGCAGGCGTGAAAAAGGACAATTCACACATGAGGCTGAAAGAAGATTGTTCTAAGATGACATTTTGTGAAATATTACAGTCTCATTTAGCTGAAGACAACCTTTTGCTGATCTAATCCCTCTAGGAACCTTTGATGAACTTGCTGTGATGGTAAATACATAACACAGAGACATTTTAGATAACTTAAAGTGCTTTTTCAATACTGAAGTTCTCTTGAGGGCAATTAGAGAACAATCAGCAGCTTTAATAATGAACAGTTTTTACAAAAGAGCATCTCTCACTATCAGTTTATGTGCTGCCCCAACTAAATAGTGTTGAAACAACTAGTCGATTAATCGATTACTGACAGAAAATGAATCTATAATTCTGATGACTAATTAATCTTCTCTCTCGTTCATAAAGTAAAAACACACAACATTGATGGATCCACCTTCTAAAATGAGAGGAATGCTTCTCTGTTTTATGTCCTTGTAAACAGAATATCTTTGGGTTATGAAAAATTACAATTGGAAGCAGAACCTTGGAAATTGTGATGATATTTTTCACTTGTTTTCATTGATCTCAGACATTATTGTGACAGTACATTTGCGCAGGTTTAGGGATGAGGGTTTTTTTTTTTTTTTCTGTTCAATGTCAACATGTTTTCTGGCTATATAAAAATTAGGCAGCGAGTCAGTTTGCACTCACCCATCTGTCTGAACTCGTGGTTCACCAGCTCCAGCCAGGCAACGTCCAGGTCATCCAGGTCATAGCAGCTGTAGCGCTGGGTGGGAGGAGACTGGGTGCTGCTCTCCCTCTCCTGCCTGTTGTTGAACAAACCGCCTGCTGACTCTGGCAGCAACCTGGAACAAACACAAAGATACACGCAGAGAGTTTATCATGTGGTCTGGAAACACAACAGCAGAACTCGTCTTACTATCTTAAAACACTTAGATTATAAAATCAAAACGACAAAATAACAGACAACAAAAAGTCAGTAAAACTAAGCACTGATCTTGTTAATGGGTAACAATTCCAGCTCTAGATTGACAAATTCATTAAGCAATAACATAGAGTGCTGTGGTTGCTGGCACCTGTTGGCTGTGGTCGAGTTTCATCACAATGTTAACATAACAAGAAGAAAAATCCTTATTCCCACGGTTGGTGTCTGGCCATTGGACAAAAATGGGATTGAAAAGGTATCACAAGTCTAAAGCGATTGCCATGTTAATTAAGATACTGTAGTGTCCTAATTTTATATTTTATATTCAGATAAAACAGTGAGATGTTCATTTGTCAGCTGTAAAAGAGGTCTGGAAAACAAACGCTTTGATATGAGTTTATATAATAAAGTAAAATCATTGAATGTTTCAGAAGACACTGTATGGAAGATCATCACAATGTAAGCCAAACATAGAGAAACTGCATCGACAAAGAGGAACGGTCAGAAGGTCAAACTAACCAACAGGGATGTGATGGACATACTGTATGTTCTGTTTTAACAATACAGGGGCTGGATATATACTTCCTTTATTTCATACAGCAGCAGCATGAATGACACAGGTCTACTGAATTCGTTTTCATCCCATGTTGGATCCCTTAATGTGAAACCACTGTCACACGTTGGGCAGTTACCAAAATAAAAGTAAAGTTTCATGCTCTCTTGCATGCTCTCTCACTCTCTCTCTCTGGAGTTGGTTAAATGATGTTTAAACGTCATCATCAGTAAAGTGCTTTGTAAAATACTATCCACCCTATTTTAGTCACCTTGTCCATAATCAATAAAGAGAAATTTTGTCCTCCAAAACTGTACATACATGCTCTGTGAAAACACAAGCCTGCCCTTCTCATGACAACAGGAAATATAGGGAAGCCCTTCTCATGTCTGGGACTCTCCCTTACACCCTTACAGTCAGGTCCTGACCTCATGGTCCAGAAAGACTGAATGCAAACAGGAAAAAAGAAAAAAAGTAATCAAAACGATGACAAATCAAGTGGTTGTAGGCAGCAGTGACAGGAAGCTCCTCCAGGCAGTGTCTGGTTCTCTGGAGCCTCGGGCCTGAATGTCTCTCTGTCAACAACAGCAGGAAATGGGGTCAGGAACTCTGCTCGACCCACTGGGAACCAATAACGACTCAGACACGGTCATGCACACATTTGTGTGCACACACACACAGACAGGCCAGCCCAAAACATCTGCATACTTTAAGAGCTAATAGATACATATAAACAAAAGAACAGAAGCATAAATAAAGTCAGATACGCACTAAACACACATCTGCCATCAGGCAGCGAGACACCACACCCGTTTAATCAGAAGGAAATCATCACACTGTACAGATCACACACACTCACACACCATATCTCCAAAACAGCTCTGTGTTTTGCGTAGTAACACACACACACACACACACACACACACACACACACACACACACACACACACACACACACACACACACACACACACACACACACACACACACACACACACACACACACACACACACACACACACACCCCAATGATTCACATTCTCGCCTGGTGAAGTCGTGACCTTTGTGTGAAAAGGTGAAGTGCTTCAGTGATCACAACAACAAAACAAAACAACCTTTAGCTCTCTGTTTCGCTCCTATCCTCAACGCCTCATTATCATACCACTCAGTTATTATCATCATCCTCCGTCACTGCCGTCACCCTCACATGAAGCGCCACTGTGATCATCATCATCATCATCATCATCCTCATCATTATCATTATCTTCCCCATTATCATCACCACTACTTCCTTCATCATAACAACAGCTGCCACTATTTTATTCTGTAATCTTCACTAGAATGACATTTCACATGTGTTGCCAGCACAGTTGAAATGAAAATAACAAAAACAATTAAATAATTTTCATAATAATAGCTATTAATAGATGGAAACAGGTGAAGAATAAAATATAATCACTTTCTGAATGAGTAGTGGTTCAATTTTACTGTCGCACCACTCTCCATTTTGACTGTCATTGAAATAAAAGCTAAATTGGTGTGGGATATATTCCAGTGCAATATAAAATATGTAAATAGGAGTAATTATACAATATTACACAATAAAACATGTAATTGTCTAACCCGTAATTGCTTAATTCTTAATTCCAGCAACTCCTCTCTTTATCCCGGTATTTCTACTTCTGTTTGTCTGATTATGAAAACATGCAAATCCCCCTGTGGACAATAAAAACAATGCCCTGAATATGTACAACAAACATACAGCTGGACCTCTGGACGATGCTTTTTATGGCTTGTGTACAGATGCCCCAACCACCCCCGGAAACTTTGATTTCCAGATCAATTGATGTCAACATCCCAGAGATATGTGCATCAGTGACACCATTGTCACTGCTGATGCTGCATCCGTTAATCTAATAAAAAGCACAGATCTGATCCATTTCTGTCTGTGAATGGCCAATTTAGACCACCATTACATGATCAATGGAGGCAAACGTGTAATCTTTAATAAATCAAACAATTCTATTATCTTTGTGTCAGGACAAAATGGAAGAAAATTGAACCCTGTTTTGGCCTGGTATCATACGGATATCTGACACTGGACAAACAGGCCTGGCCAGTCAACTAGCAGGGGAGAAAGGAGAGAAAAGAGAGGGACAAAGACACACAAGAGACACACACACATTCACAGAGAGGCAGGAGAATAGGTTTTGTACTGGAGACACTGGACTGGTTGTTTCTGTTATGTAACGTTAAAAGCGGTGTCTTATTACATTGGTGGGTGGTTTTATTGCATTATCGAAGCATAAGCCTGGTGTTATTCTATAGCTTTTGTTACTGTCAGCAAATCCCATGAAAATATTAAAACCAAAAATGCGTTAGATCGTTTTCTAATTAAAAAAAAAAGACTAAATAATAACAATACTCAAGCAAGAGTAAATAGAACAAAAAAATATAATATATATATATAATCAGGTAAAAACTGATTGCCAAGTCCATAATGTGATAACCAGTGAGTAGTGTAATATACTGAGATGTTACCAGCAGTGCTGTTGGAGTTTATGATATTCTTAGCTTTGTTTATTCTAATATGGGGTTTATTACATTCAGTTGTATCACTCTATTGGTGTTTGTTTGGCTTCTAGCTGTGACTGACAGTGTTGATTTGCTTTACCAACATGGGGATGTAACAAAAAAAACAACAAAGAAGAGAAAAGGAGAAAAGAAAGGGATGACAAAAACAAGGACATGAAAGAAGACGGGGGATCTATCCAGCCAGCATTTAGACACTGAGTAAATGATACATGTATCAAAACTGAAAACCTGCGTAAATTTAGAGCAAAAATGAAAGTTGATACCACATCTGAAGTCATTCAGCTAATGCCTACGTCAATTTGAGAACTCTTTCTGTCTTACTGATATCGTTTCAAGAGTTGGGACAACCATTCAAAGAGACGTAAAGTCACGTTATGTAAATTTAGTGCTTCTTTCTACCCTGCCTGTCAACTTTCTAGGTATCATCTCTCTATCACTAGTGTGGCGACGGTTAACGGGAGCTCCTAGTTTGGATGTCAGAGGTACAGGAGCCGAAACACCGAAGTGAGACATGAAAGGAAAGCATCGCCTCATAATAATGTCAAATCATCCCCATCTAACAGGGCGTGAGTCAATGGGGGTCAGAGTACAATGTGTTCTTCCACTGGTAAGTATCATGTATCGCACAAACACACACACACACACACACACACACACACACACACACACACACACACACACACACACACACACACACACACACACACACAAACCTTACATAATGTAGGTAAACAAAACCATGTGCAAAAGGTCCCCTGTTTGTCCAGGCTTTATTATGACTACAAAGGCAGAGAGAAAGTGCAGAGTCATCTGTCAATACTGAAGACAATTAGAGCTCTCTGTGAAACTGTAAATAGATTTTCTGTCTTTTATGCGGTTTAAGACTTATCCTGAGAAATGTGTGTGAGCCAAAGAACTTGAAAAGTACCGACTCAGTTTAAGATGTTCTTGATATGCATGCATCATTTACAGATACATCTGTGCAGCTTAATTTATTAACAACATTATAATGTATTTAAGTAAAAAATGATCAGACTAGAGATAGAAAATAATGTCCTGAATTCATTTACATGGTTGTCCCTGGTGTTTTGAATGTCCTTAACGTCCTTTATTTAAGCGGAGACAGCCATTCCATGTCCGACCAAAGAATATTAGGAACTTCTGTAACCTTGAATGCTGCACAATCTCTGCACACACACACTTACCCATACACACACCAAAAAGAACATTTAAAGGTGAAATCTCATCTCAATCTCTACTCCGGTACTTCCTCTTAATTACTAAACCTTATCTAGCTATTGGGATTTTTTTATTTTTATTTATTTTGTTGTTACCCTGGTTGCTGTCATTATTTTTCTGTTGCCTTGTCATGTCTCATATGTCTTCCTGTCCTTGTGTTAATCACATATCTTGCACTATTAATTAAAAAAAAGAAAAAAGAAAATTCAGTGATAAAAAGCAGACAGAAAAGATTTTTCAAGGAGATAATGAGGTACGGATCTATAAAAAAAGAAAGATTTCAAAGTATTTCTAAATTTTAAATAAAAAATGTCAAGGTTATGAAGCTTATTGAAGCCGATAATTTCACATAAAAATTTGTAAATTTCCACTTTTAAACCTATTATCAGGATATGGAACAAATATTCTTAACTAATAATAATAAAGAAACCTTGGAAATCACGTCTGTTTACATTTCAGTAGACCTAATGAGGAGAGCAGCAGAGGGGGAATATTTAGAAGTTCCCTCCTTGGAATCATAACAATACGACAGC